GAGGGTCACCTTTTAGCAGAACAGATTGACAGACACAATAAAGGGGTTCCATTAAAAGACTATCTACCTGCAACCAAAAAGTCGAGAGCAAAGATGAGGAGGTAAGGAGGGCAGGGAAATTACAAAACTCCCTGCCACTGAGTCGATGACAACTCACGGTGCCCCTGTGGGGCAGGGCGGAGCTGCCCCATGAGTTTCTGGGCCTGTTGCTCTTTAAGGAAGGAGAACGGTGGTTCCCAATCACTGACCTTTCAGATCACAACAACATGCAATCACTGTGCCACCAGGGTTGAGTACTGGAAATGAACCACCTCAACTCAAGAGGATGTTGACCTATGGTGAAAAGGGTAACTAATGCCATTGACTAGTTTTTCTATAGAAACGGTCAGACGGAAACTGAATTTGCCGTGTAAACTTTCATCACAACACCACAGTGAAATGTGACAGAAACACAAGACCCCCGTGTGGGCCATGGGGCACCCCTCTTAGTCCATCGGGTCAGGGGGGCCACGAGTTCTCTGCCGAGGGAAGTGGCTGTCCCCCTTCTGTCATTCCGAGCACAGCAGCTCTTTGGTTTTCCCAAGGGCTTCATCTCTCCCTTGGCCAACATAATGTTCCCCGTCAGTATTCGCCTGCCTAGAGTGAACTCGTCTAACTCCCCAGATCCGCACTGCTCACCCATGTGTGTGTGTGTGTGTGTGTGTGTGTGTGATCAGAGCGGCGCTGAAAGGCCTCTCTCATGGGCTTTGGGGAATCTTACATCTACTGCGAGATATACGGAACTGATTTGCCCTGTGTGGGCAGACACGAAGGGTGCCCATAATCAGAGTGCACTCGACCCAACCAAGATGATACAGTGCCGGGCAGGGAGAGCTGCCAGGGCGGGATGATGCCGGGCTTTTCAGGACACCACTGAATACTCTTGGTTACAACACGGAGGGTCCCCACCAGGAGCCCAAACAAAAAACCATGTGAATTCCTCTGTTTCTTAGGTGTGACTCCAGCTATCTCGCCCCCTGTTCCTTATAAAAGATTAAACCCAGGAACCAAGCTTGACTTCGGCTAAAAGATGAGAGTCGCCGTCAGTGAGAACAAGGCCTCCTCCTGCTGTCCCCGAGGACTGCCCAGCACATCTCCTCTGTGAACGTAGCCTCCGTACCTCTTAACACGTGCTGGTAACTGGACAGCAGAAACTGCAGGTGTTCAATCAGCTCATCCCACGTCTGCCACTGGGTTTTATCGGACTGTGGAGACAGGAAAGCTATGTTAACAAATGCCTTCCCCAGTTACCGGTCTTATTCACATTTTCACTTACTTTTTTTTTTTTTTTTACGTGAGGAAAATTCCATTATCTTTTCATTTTACAATCTGCCCCGCCCCACACACATACCCAGGTGGATGAACAACAGAAACATGGGTGAAGGGAGACAGCGGTGGGTGTAAGATATGAAACAATAATAATTTATCAAGGGGTCACGAGAGTAGGGGTTGCGGGGGCGGCAGGGAAGAGAAGCTGATACCAAGGGCTCAAATAGAAAGTAAATGTTTAGAAAATGATGATGGCAATATATGTACAAACATGCTTTATACAGTCGATTGTTAGACAACTGATTGATTGTTATAAGAACTGTAAGGGCCTCCAATAAAATGATTTGAAAAAGAATAAACACATTTGGGTGGGTGGGGGTAAATAAAATTTCATTTCCCCACGAACTTTCTGAAGCCCCATCACGTAATGTTCACGCACCAGCATATCAAGCAAAAAGGTGTTCTTGAACTGAAACAGAAGCAGGAGAAGGTATACCTGACATTTGAGCAGCGAGGTTGAATTGTTCAGGAAGTAGAGGGCCTGGGCCAGAGACAGGGGCAGGCGGGTGGGCGTCTCACAGCTGTGGAGAAAGATGATCTCTAACACTTTGCAGCGCAGAAGGTGGCTTTCCATGGTGGTGAAGAACATCTCCCTGCATGGGGAAGAGGGACAGGGAGTTCATCATAGCACATACCACTGTAAGAGCAAATATTATTTCATGGAAGCACATAGCATAGTTTCCTCCCTGAACTTCCTTACATCTTCCCTAAAAAATAAAAACAAAAGAGATGGCTGAAAAGGATTAAGTAAAGGAGGTCTACAAAATCGCCAAGCAGGGATAGATTTGTTCAAGAATTCAAGGCTTGAAAGGAGAGAACTATTGGATAGTGGATAAAGACAAGTTAAAGAGAAGGTCATGGAAACAAAGACAGGCAGACCTCGGAGATACTGTGGATTTGGCTGCAGCTCTCACGATAAGTGAATGCCATCATCAATAACGTGAGCCACACAAAGGTCTCAGCTCCTCAGTGCACGTGAGAGCTATGTTGACATGACACTGCAGCCTGAGATGCATGCAATAGCATTAGGAGGAAGCTTGAAACACGGTGAGAATGACCCAAGCGTGACAAGGAGACAGGGCGTGAGCACATGCGGCCGGACAAACGGCACCGACAGACTTGCTCCACACACGATTGCCACCAGCGGTCAACTTGTAAAAAAAACACAGTATCTGTGAAGTACAAGAAACCATGGTGCCTGTCTTTCTCCCCACTGCCTCTCAGTTTCTCACATGGTGGTGGCTGGAGTGTGGCTGGGATGCTGGAGGCCCGGGCCCCCCACATTTCAAAGACCAGCAGGTCTCCCAGGGTGGACAGGTTTCAGTGGAGCGTCCAAAGAACAGACTGGGAAGAGGGCACAGTCTGGCAGCTTCTGGGGAATTCACCCTGGAAACCCGATGACTGGCAGGGGAGCCCTGGCTGAGGTGAGTCCCTCGTGTTGGAAGGTGCTCACAATATGCCAGGGAAGAGCTGCCTTCTCAGAACAGAGTCCTCAATGACTTGGAGGGATCAGAGCTTGGGGGTGGGGGTGGGGGCATTTCCTGATGGGGCATAACTCAAACTGAGAAGAAACAGCTGTAAACATCCATTAACAGTTGGAATGTGGAATGTACAAAGCAGGACTCTAGGGAAATTGGAAGTTGTCAGACATGAATGCAGTGCATAAGGATCGATATCCTAGGCCTTAGAGGGCTGAAATGGACGTGACGGGACATTTTGAAATGGAAAAGACTGTATGAGCCCCCAATAACATGATAAAAAGAAATGGAAAAGCATATGGTGTCTTGTGCAGGGAGTGAAAACTTGAAGAGGAAGTGTCTCGTTCACAGCCAGATGGAAGATGCAAGAATCTAAGGGACTACACCTGTGGGAAGAGAAGACAGAAAAGCGTGGTAGCTAGAGCCAAACCGAGGCCAGGGGCAGACGGTGTAACAGACCAGCAACTTGCTCACGTGCAATTTCAGATCGATGCTGAAGAAAATGCAAACAAGTCCGTGAGAGCCAAAATACACCTTGAATACATCCCGCCTGGATTTGGAGAAAGCTCAGGGATAGATTTGATGCACTGAAAACTAATGACCGAAACCTTGATGGGTTGTGGGATGACATAAAAAACATTACACAGGAAGAAAGCGTAAGTTGAGGACCAACTTGATGGTAGCTAACATCATAATGTACCAGATACAGTTTGGCACAAGAAATGTTAAGATAAACGAAAGAGAGTACCACTGTAAAAAGACTGATAATTGAATAAGGGCAAGGGGGATACAACAGGAACCCAAGAAAAGTGCAGAGAAAATGCACCTGGATTTGGGGTACCAGCAGGGCTGTGGAGCTTCAGAGTGAAGGTCATCTGGGCAGGGCTGGGGTGGGGAGAGGCTTTCTTATGGAAAAGCTGGGATGGATGGATGATGGTGGTCTAGAAGGGGCAGGGAAGGCTCAAGGCAGGTGGCATTTCAAGCAGAGGGAAAGACATGAGCAAAAATTAAGAACACCCAGAGGTGACATGGTGGTGACTTAAATTTCAGTCTGGAATTTAGGCGTTCTCTTGCCTAGACTTTTTTCACTCTACCTAGTTCAGGACTTGGTCAGCAAGGGTCGATGGGAACACCTGCAGAAGCTTCTGAGCAGTGCGTGGCGACACCAGAGCTTCAGGACCGTGTCAAACTCACTTTCTAAAAGCAACATCTGCATCCAGCAAAAGGTGCTTAGTCTTGGATGCACGGGTCTGGACGGCCTGCTGTGGGTTTTGTTGGCTTGGTCATCCTTCTAAAGTTTTGTAGGCACAACACGGCTTGTGAGCAGATACCACTGCCCTTAGATAGGGCTAAAATCTAACTTCTGCATTGCATCTGGCCGGTTATTCTCCCAAGACAGTTTTCCTAGTCAGCAACCATTTATTTCAAGACGTCTTTTTTCACTTCCAGCTTTTATCACAAGACTTGCATTTATGATCCACCAATAACAAACCCAGAGATCCAGAAAGGACAAGGGGCAAGGAGGAACCGGGCAGGACCTGCCTGGAGAACAGGGAACAAGGCTGGCCCCAGACCCAGAGTCCTGCCACCCTTTGCAGTCTGCAACATACTCTTTACAACGGAGGAGAGCCCTGTGCTGTTGCTATTTATAACAATGAGAAACCAGGACCTATTTTATTTTTCTCATTATTTTTACCTTCCCCCTGGACACATAGATTATTTGCATAAAAACGGAGTTAAAAAAGCAGAATGAGTAGGTTTTTTCTTTAATTGTTATTTCTCACTATTCAAACATTTTCTAGGACTGAAATATTTGTAAAAATCCATTTTATTACTTTAATGTGCATTTTTTATCCTTTGCTATATCTCCTTTGACACCTTTTCTTCTTAATGAAGAGGAATTCAAATGACTACATTTGCAAGATAAGTCATCAGATTCTTTTAAAGTCTATCTTCTCCTCTACATTTACTTTCAACAAGATAATTTTCCTATTCATGTTTTACTTTTAAAATTGTATTTCTGAGGCCAGTGTTTATTCCAGGATTTGCATTTATCCTGGCCTTATAATCCACAAATACTAAAATACAAACAGATCTTCCAAGGACAAGGAACCCGTTCAGTAAACTGAGCATAGTAGGAACTGGAGATAGAATGAAAAAAAAAGTGTATAGAGATTCTCTATAATACTTAAATTCAGGTCTTGAAACCGCTGTACCAGGGGAAGGCCAGCTTTCAGCTCCAGCCTGAGAGCAGCTGGTAGAAAGACACATCTGGGTAAGATGTGCGGCATGACTCTTCTCAGGCACTGGACTATACACTACCCAGGGGCAGATTCTTGAGAGAGGGGGAATAGAAGTGGTCAGCTCCATCTTCAACTCCACTTTCTCTTTTTCCAGTTGATTCAGCAGTGTTTACTTACTTCCAGGATGAAAATGATGGCTTCCAAACCCCATACTTATTAGGCATGAAAGTAGAAGCCATCTAATTACGTTTTTTCACAAGTCCTGGGCCTAAACTTTTATGGACAGGCACACCTTGTAGATATCGCAAGTTCTGTTCCAGGCCCACAAAATAAAAGGGAATATCACAATAAAGTGGGTAACCTGGCTGTTTTGGCTTCCCGGGGCATATAAAAATTATGTTATGCTATGTGGTAGTCTACTAAGTAGGGAATAGCACTGTAAGATGTTTCAAATTGTATGGCCGGATCAATACCAGGCTGGCTTCTAGCAGCAAGTGACCTTCACTCTTCCCCACCCGTGCGGAGCTGACCAGAGCTGGCTGAAACAACTAGGCAAGTGGCCCTGAATCTCCCATACACACCTGCGGAGCTGACCAGAACTGGCTAATGGGATGCTTTGTTCTCGACCAGCCGCTCTGCACCGGGCACCGGCATGGCTCGTTTGGCTCAGTGCCCACTTTGCTCTCGACCCTCCACTCTGCACCTAGCACGGCCCATTTGGCTCAGTGCCCGCTTTGTTCTTGCCCACCACTCTGCACCCGGCACAAATACACCCGGAACCAGGAAGACACCTTACATTCCAGAAACCCGGACACACCTGTCCATATAAGCAGCAGCGCTGTAGCCTGCAATGCGACTCCCCCAGCCCGGACATTGTGGACTGTGCGACTTCGCCCAGGCTGGGGTTTTTTCTCCCTAATAAAGCCTGTTTGTTCTCATTTGACTGATTTGGTCTCTGGCGCCTCTCGACTACCTTACAGAAATATTGTGAGAAGTATGACATGCGACAGATGCTGCTGGAAAAATGGCACTGACCGTCCTGCTTCAGGCAGGCTGCCACAAACATCCAAGTTGTCAACGGCACAATATCTTGCTTCATGGGCACTCCAACACCAAGAACTGCACCCTGTATTGCTAAGGGGCAACAAACTGGATCCCCGATGGCCAGTCAGCCCGCTCCCCATGGTTGCTGCTAGGTGCCGTCCATTGTGTCCGCAGTGACCCCCGACCGGTTGTGTCTCTGTGCTCCAGAAATGGTCACCTCTTGTCCTGTTGGAGAGGAGTGGCCCTGCGTGTTGCACTGTTGTCTGAAGCTGGCCTGAGGCTTGCAGAGGCCTGAGGGGGTACCTCCTAGGGGGGTCGCAGCCAGCTTTCTTTCTGGAGGCGCTTTTAACTAAGGCCCCAAACGGAGGGTGGCAAGCTTGTTGAGCAAAGCAAACAGAAATTAGGATTCAAGACAACAGAGGTGGCTAGAATTTGGATCAAAAGAAGAGGGAGCTAAAACAGTGCATGTAAGTGCACATGCGTGCAGGGAAACACTCCAAAATCCTGCTAGGGAACAGTGGGGTGAAGCTGTGGGCTGAATGGAGGTTCTGGGGCTTGCATGCT